TTTAGATATCCGCCCCCCACTTGATACAAACACTGCACCCGGATGCTGTGGTCGTGGTGTGATGGAAGTTAAAGAAAGGGGTAAAATTCTCGACCGTTTTGTTTTCTGGACTTCAAAACAGCCGTAGCGATTAAAATCATTCAAAAGAAAAGGAATAGCTGAGGATAGTCTGAAGACTTAAGTCAAAGTTTTACAAGATGCACAATTGAACCGATGACTCTGACCTTGCTCTGATGAATAATCACTTGTGTCATTGCGCCGATTGCTCGTAAGTATTATTTTAAAATTATTTACAACCTTAAAATAAGTATTTGTTTTGGTTGTTGTTTTTTCTTAAGCTGAAATAACATTCTTCAATGTTTCAAAAGAAGCTGTGATAATGCTTAAAATTAACGTGCCCCAGGTAACTTATAGACATCTATCTAGGTATATTGCGATGTTAATGTAAGAGCTTTGTTCGTTCCAAATCAGAATCTCATCAAAACTACACCTTACCTACCCAAAATTCAATAGACGAGTTTCTGTGCTTTTATCTCGGAAAGATTCACACTAAAACAGGAAGGCATTGTTTGCATCTCTATCGCCTTAAAATCTGATTAACATTAGAGCTTTTTTCGATGGGCATCGTGAAAGAAAAACCAAAGTAATCACTGTAGTATTAGTCACTTCCGGTTCTGTTCTAGTGTCCCGTTGCATGTTGGGGGCCATGTGCTTGAGGGCCCGCCATATTGTTTTGGAATAAATCCATCTTGATATTAAAAGCCAAGTTTGTTACAATCACGACGGCTAATCAGGAGAATGGAAAATACCATTAAGAGCTAAGCTTGGTGTGAGTTTTCTCGACCAATCACAGAAAGAAAATCCAATGTAATCACGTGTTGCTTTCGACATTCAATTTAAAACTGCCCTAATCAGCATTCTGTAACAACATGGCTTCGAACATAAGAAAGATATGTCATTATTTTTAGCATTTCGAAACACCGCTGTTTAGTCTGTTATGTTCTAAATTTCACTTCGATGGGTAAAGAGAACTGTTGTGACCAGCTTGCAACTGTGCTCAAAGATTTAACCAAAATTCGGGTACGACGAAAACATTCTTTGTATTTGACTCCCTGCACCTTATGACTCTTCCCCATCAACATCATGTAGTTACCTCTCATTAAATAATTTCTCTTTTTGACTGGGGCCTTGGGAGGTTCCGGGGGTTTAGGAGGCTTTGGAGCCTCAGGAATATCATACTGATCCTGAACGGGGGGGACGTCTGGTAAATCACCAGGAGATGGCATGCGGGGCATCTCATGCGGGAAAACCAAAAGGTATGGTACAGCGCGATAGATAAAGCCATCTGACCCTAACACGAATGGAAACTCAGGCGTTTTAGGAGTTTCTGGTGTTAGCGGCGTCTCAGGAGTTCTTGGAGTGTCCGGCGTTCGTGGTGATACCGGGGTACTTGGCGTCTCTGGTGTCAGAGGCGTTACAGGGCTTTCCGGTGTCCGGGGTGTCTCTGGTGTCTCCTTTGTGACCGGGGTCTCCGGTGTCTCTGGTGAAGCTGGTGAGAGTGGGGTATCCGGTACCGGAGATTGAGGGTCTCCAGGGCGTGCATGAATCACATCTGGAACGGTGATTTAGCCGATAGTACTCCCCTTTCCTGAACAGTGTTACCAACTAAAGATCTTAGCTGGGTTTAAGTGTACAAAAATATTGGTTCCGTCTTACATGGTTTTTAGCGTATAGGTATTTGTGATTATCTTTCAATAGGCATGTCTCTTACACACGACAAACAGCAAAACTTCAGATACTAACTTAAGCAGGAAAATTGAGTTATTATTTATAATTCGTTTTTGCCATTTGCCGATGCCGAAAACTACGTTTTAACCCACAAATGAAATCTTCTTACATTTGAAAGTAGCAAAGTAGCAAAGTTCCCTCATGATCGACCAAATAAAATGGTAATCCATGCGTAATATTTAAAGCCTATAATGAACACTTTAACACTGTATCCCTGTGCAGGTGAATTAAGTGTGGACTTTTCTATACAAATGCCGAGATAAGATCAGTTTTTGAACGATGAAATACGAACCTTAAAATCACGATTAATTTCCCCCATTGGTTGAGAAAGTGGCACGCGTCAAGTTTCTTAAACCCATTTGAGAGCGGATTTAATTAGAATATTCTCAGATTACTCTCAAAAATAAATAAAGATTTCTCTATCTCACAAACTCTTATAGTTTCTTTTCGCTCTTTTTGTCAATGTGTCAGCCGAGGAGTTCAGCTCAGTAAATTCCGACTTCATTTAATTAGGAATACATTTATCATAATTTATCTTAAATTTATGACAATCGTGATTTTCTCTCGTCGGAAATCATCAGGTTAGTTGACGAGAATTTGTCAAACATGCAGTGAGAATGTGACTATATATGCGTGACCTCAAACGACACAACTTGAGCTTATATTTAAAAAAAAATCCCTAATACATTCATTTGACAAAGCATGAAGTGCTCGTCAGAGTAATGCTGTGTAATGTAATGCTATTTATCCTTGATACACACAAGACTAATTTCAAAATGAAAAGTTTCCAATTCTATTGACTTTAGGTGCGGGCCAACTAAAACCTTTTATCAAAACTTTTAAACGACGTGCAACAACTGATAACCATTGGTAATCAAGACTAGTCATGCGTGTTAACTTCCTAAAGGAATGCTCCAAGATTTGAAAGTAGATTCCTGTAAGGCATAGTTTTGTTATAGAAAAAGGGGCTGCGTAACTTACGGAAGATAGATAGCTACAGCATGAACTCACAAGGGAGAAGAAAGAAAGAAAAACCTATGACACCATAGACATGTTGTTTGCCCACTCCGAATAGGACACCTGTTTTAAACTGAGAGTCCCTGACATTAAGTCAAATGAGGAAAAATGCTCTATGTTTGTAATGCAACGACGATATGAATACAAAATACAGAAGAGAAGAGAAGACTTTGCGGGAATTCTTTGTTTTGATGTTATGGATAACTGAGACATTTTAGGCAAGATCGCCATCGATCCATTTTGTTTGGTACCAGAAGTATTTAACAGCTTAACAAACGTAAGATTCAAACCGACTAAAACAGAACTGGAGAAAGTCTCACCTCTAGAAGCAAGTGTTAATAGCAGAAGAATATATAGATGATTCCAATTCTTCATTTTGTGTCTGTGGATGTAAAGAGTAATTTGTATTAGTTCATGTAAATGTGAAATGCGATCGATAGGTGAAAGTCGCTCCACGGTGTCAAGCATATTTCTCTGCAGATAAATCTAATTTTAGCTTGATTTTTTTTTACTTCATTGCTAAACGTGATAAAGACATAACATGAATCTTTTTGAACAAACGTTTTCAAAATTTTAGACAAAACAAATGACAGGTTTATATGGAGAGGTATATATATATATATATATATGCTCCTCAGTAGAAAGCAGTGTCCATATCATTAATAGAACTAAACATAACCTTTACAAGGGCTTAAATGGAAGTTTAACACTACCATACCTCCGCCGGATCCTCTGGCCTAAAATCTTTATATGTATTTGTATATTCTTATAAGGAACAGTGGTCCACAAGAGAGAGGGTTAATCACTCATTCAACACGTGTGTGAATTTGATATTATAGAATAGGTCAACAATGTGACAAAAACAGTAATTACTTAATGAGACATTATTACATAAGTACGTCTTGGCTGCAAGAAAGCATCTCTAAATTAATGTTCGAAATAATTGTTAGCCACATACACTCATCACCTACCTTATTTCTTCACTCTTCTAAGTCACTTGGTTTGTAAGTCATTTACGGTAATGAAGATTGAGTAGTAGTTTTGGAGTCCCTCTGTTCATGAGTTTAATATTTCATTGGTCTTCTGGTGGTACCATTATTTAGCGTGCATAAACTACAGGTTGGTTTTCTAGATCATTGAACCGCGCACAAAGAGGTGGAGATTTTCAACGCACATGGAATTACTAAGACTTTAAAACGTGTTACCTATCATCTTCTGCTGCTGCTTTTTTTTCCTCTAAAAATTCTCAAATTGAAAAATATTCTTAGATTAAAATCTCCTGTTCAGAAATTGGTTTTGGTGGGCCATTATACGACAAGTCGTTCTCCTCATAATTGACGCCAGTGTCATTATGAAACAATTAGATGGCAATTAATCACAGACACAATCACAGATTTAAACCATTTAAGCTGTTGCTAACAAAGGGAAACTATAAAAGGGGTTTATTATGCTGCTTTAGTTCCTTTGAGCAACATATTTGTCGATGGCCAGTTTTATCTTTAGTGACCCAAGGGACTGTTTTTAAGCTACAGCATATTTCATACGTGTGGCACCTGCTAGGAACGCATCTGAAAATGTTTCTTGTTATGTGCCTAATTGAAAATAAAACGTTTATATTTTGAAAAAGAGATTTCTTTTGTATTTCTAAATACCTGTTTATTAAAATCATTCCGTGAACTATTTCAGGAGAAAGAAGATGGTTTTCAATGAAAACTTGTTTTACTAGCGCAACCAGAAATTTATCAATAGGGTTGAAATGAAGTGTTTGGTTTGCCGTTCAAAGCTAATATGTGATAATAACATTTTGATAAAGTTAGATAAAAAAGAATGTCGCAATAAAAACGTTAAATATAATCTTTAGCCAGGAGAAATTTAACGATGGAAATTTAACGCGGATGGTTTCTTTAGATTAATCTGGTCTGTAGAAATAAAGGTACAAAACTTGTTTACTATTCAACACTTTATTATTTAAGTAGCCAGTCTGTGATACTTATGCTGAGCGTCTACTCATGCGCAATAAAGGAGACAAACGTCGGGCTTAAATGTATCCCTGTTTGTGACCTATTGAGCAGTTTTCGAAGAAAATCTGGGATTGCTTTGGTTTGCTTCACTTCGCTCTGTGATTGGTTCCGAAATGTCGCGCCACATCTCAACAAAACAGAGCTAAAACTACAATAACAATCACCTCATAGAAATGCTTTCATGTTAATTTATTGGTCTAAATATAGAAAATTCTCGAGTACAAAAATAAATACGATTTCAGCTTTAGCAATGTACATCAACATATGAGATAAATATTTGAATTATAAAAATATTACATACAAATGAAGAAGTCAAGAATTAGGATGTCTGGATTTGTTTGCCCTCAGCCTTTATCAATTGAGCAATCTTCATAAATGGCGGATAATAAATGTAAAATTACAAAAATATAATATGATAAAACCGAAGAGGCCAAGGATTAGGGTGTCTGGATTTGTTTTCACTTAACTTTCACCAATTTAGCAATGTACATCAATACAAGATATAAATATAAAAATCATAGAAATATAACACAAAAATAAAGAGGTCAAGAATTACGGTGTCTGCATTCGTTTGCACTTAATATTTGCCCCATTAATTGAGTCCCCACTCGTCCGTGGATCAATACATTTTGACGCGTTTGGTTGCTTATAATATTTATGTCTTTTCTTTATGCAGCTAAAAACTCCATTAAGTCAAGGATATCGTGCATGGGTCACTGAAGGGGCCTGCACGTTCTTGGTCGTCAACTGCACGCACAGCAAAATGATACTTATTCCCAGAGGAGAACTGTGACAGCGTGCAAGCCATTGGAAGTGGGAGTGCTTTAACAATACCGATCTTTTTCCACATAATTGGTGGATTTGTGCTTTCGGCACCATCTTGACAAGCAAATAGTTCATAATTGTCAATTACTGCCATAGTGTCATCTAGTCTCATGGTCCAGGAAAGAACAATGTCATCCTGGACAACTACAATTGACGCCTGCGGTTTTGGTGGTGACCTTAACTGTACCTTAGAATCGCCGTTTGTGGCAACCAAAGTATCTGACTGATTCACTGTACCACGCTGATCTCCTCCTACATTAGGATTTCCTGGATGACGGTTAGATGGCGAAGCTGAGGACGAAATACCGGGGGATTGAATTGGCGGATGTCGACCTCTTGGCACACCGGGAGGCGCTTGAGTAGCGGCTTGAAACAGAGCAGCTCTTTGCGGTAGAGGAACTGTGAGATTTGGATCCCTCTGTTGAGATACCTGGTAATCTCGAACAACGTACACTTTGTCATTGGATTCAGTAGGCTGACCGTATGTATGCGCTGGCTCTACACGTTGAGAAGGTTGTGAGTGGGTAAGTGTCACTCCTAGGCCACAGTCAGTGGTAGGTTGTCGTGGTGGATTGGTAGGATAACTAACCTTCTCTACAAGCTGACCTTGTGAAAGTCTTTGTGGCTGAATGGGAGCCTTACTCATCTGATGAATGGGATGAGGTGCATTCTGAATAGAGGGTTGAACGCCTGATGACTGTTGACTTATGATCTGCCCCGGTGGCTTGTTGGTTTGAAGTAGAGTTGGATGAGGTATAGATTCAAGACTGGAAGAAGCTTGATTTAAATATGGTCTTGGTGTGGATGGATGGCCATGGCTGGATGGATGGCCATGGTTGGATGGATGGCCATGGCTGGATGGATGGCCATGGTTGGATGGATGACCATGGTTGGATGGATGGCCAAGGTTGGATGGATGGCCATGGTTGGATGGATGGCCATGGTTGGAAGGATGGCCATGGTTGGATGGATGGCCATGGTTGGAAGGATGGCCATGGTTGGATGGATGGCCATGGTTGGATGGATAGCCTTGGCTGGATGGATGGCCTTGGCTTGAAGGACTAATGGTGTACACTGCTTGATTTCCTTGCTGTGGTTGGGAGATTGGTAAAGTCGGTTTTGGTTGAAGAGGTCTGTGATTTACGGGGGCCACACTTCTGGGGACAACTCTCGGGACAGCAGTCGTGTTAATAGGTTTTACCTTAAAGTTGTGCATAACATAGTCGTTACTACTCGAAACAACATGTAAACCATCGTTACTCCATCGTTTACTCCGCTTGTTTGGCCCACCAAAAACGGAAATATTTGGAGGACCACGTTTCAAGTGAACTGGCACGTCAGCAGCTCGACTTGACTGTGGCATTCGGATACGATTGTTTTGATTTTGTGGTTGTGAAGGATTCCATCCTACTCGTGCTGGAAAATTGTCCTGAACTGTACTCAGAGTAGCTGAAGGGGATTTTAAAACCTCATGACTTGTCTGTATGAGAATAGGTGACTGCCCTTGATTATGTATATGGTTATTAGGGGATGTCCCATGCATTGCCGGTGGATGAGACGCAGGCCTTTGAAGGGGCCGCGGTTGTTCAATGGGAATTTCAGGCGAAACTCTGTGAGCTGATTCGCCTTCTCGTGCGTACGCCTGTGCAGTGTCTGAATTAACTTGCTGTCTTTGAGGTGGAGAAAAGGTAAGATTTCCAGGTCCAGTTTGCCCCGATGGCATTCTGCAATCGTTTACAAAAGAAGGCACAGTCTGCTTTGTAAACTCTTGGGTAATGTTGTTACCACGAGCATTAAAATCAGAAATTCTTCTTAATTCACTTGTCGTAACACTGTGTGTATTTCCTCTATTGCCATGTATGTGGTGCCTGAGAATTTGCTCAACATCTACATTCGTGGCATGATGGGCATTACCCGTTCTTTCAATATTTGACGAGACTTGCTTTTCACGAATAGAATTATCTGTTAAAAGTTCAACGATCCTATTCCCTTGTACCTGAAACAGAAATATTCAGTAAGTTCAGTTACAGAAGGAAAAAAAAAAGGAATAACGGTCCCATGTCTTTGATTGAAGTTCACATTTTTAAGGTGTCAACGGCTGGCAATAGACTGAGATGGTTCACTTTTGCAGATAAAATCGATTTCTCATAATTTTCAATGTTCTTGCAGCTCTATGCATTTAAGAATACGTACCAAATTAGAAATGAAACTGCCCCTTACTTGAAAAAAGAAAGAAAGAGAGGAAAAAAGGAGAATAACAACAACAAAAGGTAACAATATACCAGATCAATGTCAATTTGTGTTCCACAAGATATCATCTGCGGCTTTTGCTGTTGAGAGAAGTTGTTCATGAGTCAATGAAGTTCTTCATGCCTTCGTTTTTACGGATGCTATTCAAGCGAATTTACACTTAGTCTTACAGTCAATAACCCACTTGAATGAGGTTTTGAATTGTATGCATGCATCTCGTTCTTTCTTTGGAACTTTTCAAAGTCCTAAATTTGTCCTTATTTGGATTGATGGTGACGCACGTTTGTCAGTTCGGTTTAAATGGTCACATTTCGTAATTATGTTTTCAAAAGTGCAAAAAAGGTTTTCGGAAATATAACAAATGAAAGTTTAGCAAGAGATTGCGTTATTCTATTTAATATGGTAGAAGTAGAAGAAACTGTTAAAAATAAAGCGTACCCTTTCATGTTTGCAAGAGATTTGTTTCACTTTTTGCTCCAGTCGTTTTGCATCGGACTGCAGTGTTTTCTTTTCCTCTTCCAACGCAAATATATGCTTTTTCAACAATTCTACGTCCGCCATTATTCTCTTTTCTACTTCAAGGGATCGCTTCACCATCACTTCTTTGAGCATCTGTCACAAAGAAACCAAAATCATATCACTTTGTCGAGTTAATTTTATCATATTGAGTAAATGTTTTAGGACAGGTTGCACGGCCACCAATATCAGTTCTTGATCTTTGTTTGCTTGGTTAGTGTTCACTCTATTCGGAGAGTTACCTTGATGAGAGTGTAGGTCAAATGTTTGATTTGATGCGCATAGTAGAAGACTGACCGACTCATCCTCAATAAACTTTTCATATTGAATGCCTCGCGTGAGTGTAGTCAGAACAAGCCTTTCGGCTCTGCTCACACCATCGCGTACTGCATGCGAGACGCGAGTTGAAAGAGGAAAGGAAGATAAAGAGAGAGAAAAGGCCATATGTTAAAATGCTTGTTTACTGAGATGCGTGGGGCCGCCTCTAAGCCATGAAGCACGGACCTCGCGTCCCGTTCTACCCTCCTAGTCAGTCGATAAGTTTATACAATAATGGAACATTCTTCAGCTCGAACCTGACGGAACGTATTCATGTCCATCTTTATTTCGTTGTCTTTTCCTGATTCTTTGCTGCTTTGTGCTGGCGAATCGTATTTTATTTCATTGTTTCTGATTGACACACAGGATATTCTGCCACTTGTACCTAACAGTGATTTAAAAAATGATACAGTCAATAAAGAAATGCGTTAGGAACAAAATACTAACGAACTTGTAGCCCTCATGAATTGCAGTAGTAAAAGAAAAAAGAGACAAGGCAATGAGAGTTAATTCAAGGTTTTGAAAATATTTAATCACATCAGATAAGGTGAGTTTAGGTAGGTTAGCGAGACTATTTAACGATAATTCACCAAGGGCGAATTGAGTGTTGTTGAATAATTTCCGAGACGTAGTCGAGGGGATTATTCAATGAGGCGAATAATTGTTTGAGTATAATTGCTCAGGTGCTTTCGAATTAAGTTTTTTTGCTCTTCGGACTTGAATTTTCTGCTATTGCATTTCTCACTTTCTCGGTAATCATTACCAAACGCGAGGCAGCCATTTTGTAATTCAGCGCCCATGGAATTATCGCCACGCGCGAGGTGATTATAGCGAGATATGACGCAATTCTCGACCAATCAGATGAAGACGTCTTTCGAGTCTAGCAGTGTTTCCCTAGCAGAGTGTTAAATATGATCTCCGAAATTTATATACCAAATGTTTATTTATTATTTGTTGATGTTGTTCTTCTTGTTTTTTTTAAATTATTTTTCATATAACGAATAGATTCCATGTTGCCGTGCGTCTAATCATCCAATGAATCATTGATGACGTCAAAATGTGATAAGGACAAAAATGGGGCACACGAGACGCAGCCGAGTATGTTACTGATGTTCCTTCCATATTTTGATGTCTTCTGTGATCTATTACTGCACAGGCTTACGGCAACATACAATCTACTTGTTTCATTGATAAAGGTGACGTTATCTATGCGCCTGTCCCCCAAAAGATAATAAGTAAGAAGCAATCATAGTGGGTGTAGGATTAACCTCATCATAAAATTCAACCGCAATATCAAATACTCTGATTTGGTTGCCCGTGGTTACAGTTCAGATCAAGTGACTGATCTCATGAGCTAATTTGAGGATGAACCCATGAACCACTGATTCAGTTCAGTGGGTTAACTTTCGTCCAGGTATTACATGAGACGGGTCACTGCCTTTATTTCCATAGAACTCTATACTTCATTATGCATGCAGTTATTTGATTAAAAAAACAAAACAAACCAATGGGGAAAACAATCGGCTGCCTTCAGGACTAATGCTTTACTTTAAAGTGGTATGAGGCCATGCGGAAATAGGTCGGATTTCCTTGTTATAGGCTTTGTAACACTTTCGTAACGGCGGGCATGATTATTATTTTTTAGTTCGCATGAAAACAAAGCCCTCTTGGCCCTCTTTCAGGGTAAATAATGTTGTGTTGAAACATGTTTTCGAGGCCAGGAAGGCTAACTGAGGCCCGCCATTTATGAAAGAGTTCTATGATTAGATTTCAGGACCTAACTGTGCACGAGTTTCGATAGCATTCCGATCATTTTTTTACTGACTGACCGATAAAAACTCATTTCTTCATTCAGCCAGAAAAGGAAACTTTACAAATTCAGGGAGCTCTTTAACTAAGTTAGGGGGAGGATAATTACAAAGAAAGAAACCGAGGTGCTGCGTCGGAAGGAGGGGGGGGGAATGACATGTTAATTTGGTTTTATAAACTGAGTTGACAGAGTAAATTGTTAACCCAGTTTGTTATTTAACAAATACATTCGATGATGCTGTGCATTTTTTCTGTTATAGATCACTGATGAAGTAAGAAAAAAATAGAGCGCAGCCCAGTGTGTCGCTGATGTTCAGATCACCTTGGGTGGTCTTCTGTGATCTCTAACAGAATAGTCCCACAGCAACATAGAATCCATTAGTTTTATAATTTATGATAAAAAAGCAAAGTTTTGTAAATGATGAGGTCATCTATGCGTCTGTTCTCCACTACACCATATTAGGTGAGAATCAATCAAAATGCATACAAAATTCGGATCAATATCAGTATCTGGGCAACGGCCCACCTACCCCTCCCCTAACCCAACAACAGTCAATTGATAACAAGTTTGAACAAGGGTGAATGTTGGGTTAGGGGAGGGGTAGGTGGGCCGTTGCCCAGATATTGATATTGATCCCAGAATTCAGCCTATCATATAAACATATTAACACAATTTATTCATATTATTCAAATCACTCTTTGTCATAGTTCACCTGTTAAGCTTCCTGTATCAGTATTGGCTGCCTCTCCTTTATTTTGTTTTGGGTTTTTCTCCGGTCCTTCCTCTTTTTTCGCTTCTCCGTCCTTGCCACACCCACTCTTTCTCGGAGTATTACTTTTCTTTTGAACTGAGGATGCAAGTTGCTTCAAGCGTCCTAGAACCTCGTCATTCATGTTCCTTTCACTTACCAGCGCCCCTGCGGGAAGATAAAAACATTTGGCCGAAGAACGCTACTATAATCAGTGAAAATGGATTAAGGAAGTTGGTAAGAGAAATGAAATTAGCTTGCATAATGTCGCAGTTTTTTCTGTCTGTTTGTTTGTTTCTTGTTTCCTTTCGTACTCCTCTTGTCTTGTTTTGTTTTCATAATCCGCGATTCTAACAATTTACCTCGTACGTGTGGTGTTCAGTCTCAGTGATCGGACGCACACAAATAAAAATATCCGGGGCTCCGCTCCGATCTTTTCTTAATTTACAAATTATTCTAGAAAATGAAAAAAAATCAATTAAAAAAATTTTAAAAGAAGTTTTCTTCGTATATTGGAATAAACCAAACCGAGCTAATGTGAATCTGTATTAAAATGATTTTTCCTATCATGTAGCTATAGCGGCTCGATAGGACTTACATAAGGCAAGCACGCGCACTATGTTATAATGGCTAATCGCAGTTATTGGTAAAAAAAAATCACTATTTTTTGAGATGAGTTGCATAATCCTATATCGTTTGGATCGTTATGATTATATAATTATATCTTAGTAAAAAAAAACTATCACCAAGACAAAACATGCACACGTTATCGAGTTGAAGCTTAGAAACATAGATGTAGCATCGTAGATAATTTTTAAAAAGGCGATATCTTGTTATGGAACAGAAGATTGCTATGACGATAGTTTCATGCTCTGAATTCGCTGTGTACGGCGGTTAGTCTACTCTTGCATCATCAACTTGATCAACATATAAGCGTGTCACTTACTCAACGACGTAAACCAAAAATTTCTTTGCAAACTAAATATTATCAGCATAATTACTCCCGTACATTAAAGAAGGTAAATAATAATCATGTTAGAGGATAGCAGTACAGACACAAAAGCACAGATAAACAACTTTACAATTAATTCATCCTATATAGTTTCTACAGTCTGATGATTGTTATAAACTGTCTTAGAGGTATTCAAACGGACCAGAACAAGATAATAACGGCCGGCGTTATCACACCCAAATAAACGCAGAATTACAAGTTACTTTTAAGTACTGAAGATGCTTTTAATAATGTCAGTATTATAGTGAATGAGGTTTATCTTTTTCTACAATGCATATCTACAATAACTGGTCTTAATGATAAGTTACCTTGCCTCTCCAAAGTTGAAGATTGTCGAAGCGTTGTTAGACAGCTACTCAGTGAAGTGTGACAATATATATTGGTTATCGAGAGAAAGATACATTCATTCCTGTATCAAAGAGAAAAGAAAGAATTGTTGATATCCTCTCGACTGCGGTAAGTTTGGACTTTCCACAGAGCATAAACTATGAATATTTCGGCATCTTGCCACGTACGCAAAGAACACGGAAGACACGTTATCAAAACAACAATGGGTTTCCTGTTAACTTGTCAATTTGAAATAATTATGCAGGATTATTTTATCATTCCATGATCCAGTCTGCCCCTTCTTAGGGAAGCGAATGCGACGACCTCTTCGGGGAACAAACGGAAATTAGAAAACTGAATTTACCTTATTACATAGAATGGAGACAACCACAAATGTCAAATGTATCCCTTTGTTTATATTTTCGCTCTCCCATCAAAATTCACAGTTTTGCCAACTTAATTCATAGCTGTAGATGGACTTGTTATCCACATCTTTAATCAAGTCAGTTCAAGAACAAGCAAAGTAAGATATCGCGTGCTCTGATTATCTATATGCAAGGTAAACAAATAACTACATGTTGGCCCTGAGGTCTGTTCTCTTCTTCTGGATGTTGTGTGGACGGAATGTTAGACCCGGAAATGCAAATTTAGATACCCACAAATCATTTAAGGCCATTGCGGCCGGGCTATCAATCGTTAAAGAGCGGCAACAGGAATTGTCCTCAATATTAATTAGGTACAGCCACAAATCAAAGAAAACTAGTTTTGTTTCAGTATACTTGCCAAGTCTATGCTTAAATATTTATGAGTGTATACCTTATGGAGACCATTTTTGCTCTTAACGCAAACATTTTTACAATGAGTGATAAAAATAATAATTGTCATATGCTCTCAAAAACTAGTTATCAATTAATTAAAATATGGATAGTTTACTGACTTCTTGACCGATATTGGCTTTCGATCGGTTGGAAAATAAAACTAGAAGAAAATAAGGCCTTAAGCTTGAATTAATTTCAGACTAAACATCTCTTACCCTGGCATCAGTTCAAAAACCAATATTTTGACTCCAAAACGTAGGATTAACAATTCTTAAGCGATAAACATTCACCTTGCTTGCTTAACGACGGCCACTCATTCGAGAATGCGAAAGCCAATGTGTATGGTAATTTTGTTGATTATGCTAATATATTCAAATCTGTCAAGTAATTTTGTTGTCTAATTTTAGCTTTTGCGACAACACAATATCGTGACAACTTATTAAACAATCGACCACGAGAAAACAATAACTGCATTCTTCATGAAATTCTTTTTACGCGTTTAAATAAGATTAATAAAATGTAACGACAAGAACCTATCTTTGACTGCTTTACATAGAAATGTGTTCCGAACATCGTGATTATGACAAAGTACTTCAAATATTGCCCCGAAAGATTTGAAGCGGAGCGGTGACTAAATTTCAACGTTTACTTCTGTAACATTTAGTTGAAAATCTGGGAGCTGGGGAATCATAAACTTAAATCCAGTCGGTCGGAAACTACACAACACAAAGCGGTAATACATTCTAAAAGGATTTAAAAATGCATCGTGAATCGCAGACGGATCGGTAGAGCAGTTAACGAAGCGTAGTGCTTCGGGCCCACGAATAGAGAGAGGAGTTTGTCGATAGTATACAATCCAAGGATAACTGATCTACATTGGAATAAGAGTCTACTGCAATTGTCAAGATTATTAGCAATTTTTTACATAATTGAGATACCCGTGTAGAGGTTTACCTAAAGGTCGTAATTCCACACTGTTTTGATCGCGTACGTTAACGGCTGAACAAAATCTGAGCTGAGAGCGTCGTTTTGTAAAATGTCCGTCTATTCGTCGATCATGTGACACCAGAAAGAAACCATATACAGCAAAGTGCTCAGCCTATAGAGAGTAAGGACGTAAACAGTATTGAATAATCCAAGCTAATTAAGAATTATGTGACTTCCCGAACAATTTACATGACAATGGTACCTTCAAAAGAGAACTAATAATGCTCTTATTTGTAGGCGCCGCACTGGCGCCGGTAAAGAATGCAATTCCCTACGGAGTACCACTGGCTTTTATCAATAAAACAGACGCGCCATAACCAAAACAATACTTCAAATATGTTAGCAGCTGTGGCCCTAAGGAAAGGCTAGGGCAGGCCAATTTCCGGTTGTGGGGCGACCTTCAGGTAATTTTTATCTATTCCGCGATCTCACCGAATTAATAAATTCTCCTAGTACCTACAAGTTGAAAAGAATGGGTCCGTAAGATTTTCTTCTTTAGAATCGTAAAAAAGAATGTTCAATTCCGACACTCATCATCAGCATTATGGCAAATCATTTCATCTGTTGGATTTAATGCGCGGTTGCTTCTAACTCCTCCCGAGAAGTCCTTTGAAATGTTGGATGCATGTACACAAATTGTTGTTCTTGTTCGATCTGGGGTCTATTCATTATGATCATTAAACTTCTAAGAAGTTTGACGTGAATGTTTGATTCGCGTAAACGGGTCAGTGGAAAGCCTTTCAGGCGCCAAGTGTATTTTCCGCCACGAAGAGGAATTTGTCCTGTAGTGTTTTATCTTAAATGTTTTGCCCGCCCTGATCAGTATTCTCATAGAAGGTTGTTGATCAAAAACGAACAGTAACCTGTTGAAGCAGAATCAAACCAGCACATGAAAATCGTATATTCTGAAAATGGCATGTCCACTGATATCGCGAACTGCTGTTATTATTTTGATATCTTCCGTTTAAAGTACGATGGCTCAAAGAAACAAAAATTGTAAACTCAGCAGATTGGAAGTTTTCAAACTCTGAAATGCTTCAAAACCTTCAGAAGCCTTATTAACAATGGTTCCCCAACCGCACTTACTCTTCGTAACTATGCAATTTCTGTATAGTTTAGACATTTATTTTCTAAATGGCTTTAGATAAAAAACATGTGCAATTGTCGCTCTGTCGTTTTCATTTGTAGTTGGGTTGTACACCCTGGAACCTTTAAAATAGCTCGCTAAGTAAGCAAGAAGTCACGACACGAATTTCTGGTGTTACAAAACACGATGGTTCCAACTACATATTTAAAAAGCGCCATCGCTCTTATAATCAGATGTCACTGACATTTCAGCTGTCAGAACGTTGTTTGCCATTTTTACCGCTGAAACCAAATAACCATGAAACAAACCCCACCTGTAATTCTCAGAAAAAAATGGGCTGAGTCAAAAGTCAATGAGATTGTCGATTTGAGGGCGCTGATCAAAAGGTAGCAGTGTTAAAGCGACCCACGATGTTTGTCTTTATAATGTTTTGAGTACCATGACGCTTACTTATTGTTCTAGAAAATTCATTGATGTATATCTCAGAGCAACATACCATAAAAAAATATTGAACAAAAATAAAGCGAAGCGTGGGACCTTATACTGAGACGTTTTCAAAGCAAACTAAGCGTTAAACTCTTAAATTTTTTTTCGCCTCAAACTCATCACCTTTATGAATTCGGAAAGTCGATCCAAAAGCTTGATATTATTTCCCGATAGGGGCATAATCTAAGTTATCAACTTATCATCGGGTTGCAAAATCTCATGACGCATTTCCGGTGTGTTCTGAATTCTTTAATCACGTCATGAAAATTTGGATGAAACAATTTATATTTTGAATTATTCCAGCCAAACCAAAATAGCGACTAGAGAGATATCTGTAAAAGTGTAATTTAAAAGATTTCATGTTAATTTCACAGATCTATATCGATTTTCGTCGACTAATGAAATGGAAAGCAAAGTGTAAGAGCTTGACGCCACTTTAAAGACATCAGATAAAATGAAGCAGATAGGAAACAATTAAAGCACTACCCAGAAACGTGACAAGCAGTAAAAAAGGAATACGAAGAGAAGAAATACCTCGCGGGTATGGACCAAACCAGGGCGAAGTGACGCGCGATTTTTCCAAATAAGAGCACGGTAATTGCGTGAAAAGCGTAAATGGATCCGGTGTAGCGCTTCCGAGCAAATTGACCTACGAAAAGATCTCCCGAGGCACGTCAACTCTAAGAACTGCCGGCGTAGTCAAACAAAACTTACCAATCTTTTTCAATAATGACTGAGATGTAAACATATTGAATGTCAAATACTCAGCATGCTGGAAATATTTGTCCATATCCGGTTTTCAAGGCAATGTCTATTTAAGGATCTCTTGCGGTCCAATCCGATTTAGTGCGAGTGGAGATGCGAGCGCCTGTCTCATCAACTTCACACAAAAGTGGTGCAATAAAGGTGAGTCTCATGACAAGAAACAAGAAGGTGAAACCAGGAAATAGATGTTACTCCTGATTGTGCCAACAGCTCGGCCTGCAGTGGGAAGCTCGGACTTGGCTTTCGGCTCGTAATGTAAAGAATTAGAAAGTTAATTATCTCCGTTAAATCCAGCAAAACCGCACCTGATTAACGAGCTCATCTCCAAACTTGCTAGCTATGGAATGCAATGAATTTGTTCATTGTTGAAGTGAATGTCTGGTGTTCAGCTGCTGAAATAAAACTGCAAAGGCAAACGAGGACCAAAACAAAATACAGATAAAACAGAGGGAAATTAGGGCGATACGTTTGACTATGGGGAAATTTCCACCAGTTCCAAAGGGTTCGTCCTCTCGTTTTCTCCTATGTATGTAAATAAATAAAAGAAGTAAGAGGAAAATGCTGTATGGTAAACGAGTCCACAAATAACTCTTAGGTATCTCGAGCACTCGAGAATGTGCATAAAACGTCGTAAGCAGCATACAGAAACTATATACAAGCCCTCAAATCATAGTTAAATTTTGATGGTGATCTTACGAGAGAGCATTACGTGATTGTGGGCGAGTGTGGAGGAAGGCTTTCCCTTCCTCCCAATGACGTTACTTGGTACCCACGACCTCTGCTTTGTTAAGTTAAAATCCCCGCACTATGGATGTATGCTAAGCTCAGCTTCACCGTTATTCAAAGTCATGAAAGTCACTGATAATGGAGGGGACTATTCACCTAACTTCAATGTGTTACCGATGTTAGTTCATTTTCCTGCAAACGAAAGTGGTTAGACGACACTGAATCGAGATCTTCTTTTTTCATAAACGGATCAAACGGATCAAGACTGACGTGGTACACTCTATTCACACATGGAATTTTAAAAAGTTTTCACTTTATATTTAAACTTTAGCAAATTTTTGTTGCTGTGACAAGTGTTGCCCGCACTACTCAAGTTTGCCTTGTCCACTGTTTGTTTATGTCAATGATCAATGTACAGCTGCTCTTGCCGCGGTGTGGGGGCTTATTTTACCCATTAACGAACAGAATAACTTTAAATGTAATTTTTACAGGCGATAATCACTTTTGTAATGATGGCAAAGAAAAATCTTAAACGAAGGGATATTTGTTATGTCATGGAACTCGAGTTTATATTGTCAAAACTCGATATAAATTTGCCAGGAGGTGTCCATGAAAAGACCTACCGACTAGGTTTCTATGGCAGTATGAAAGACCGAAATTTTTCCCTGACGACAGAATTTTGTGAGGAGTTCTTGCCCTTGTTCATAGAACTTTGTATGAAGTTCTTGCCCATTTCTAGTACATCAACACTTTTTCAGTTGAATGCGCGGCCAAAATATAATGGAGAAACTCGGAATTCAGCGTCAGGCTTAAAATGTTTAAACGGGGTTAAGATAGCACAAGACCATAGTTACTCAAAATAGATTGGTAAACGATGGCGTTTGTCAAAGTTATATTGTATATTTTACACCGGAAAACATTTTATCTAATTAATTACAGGTGCACGTGGATCATATCACCATAGCATCGTACTATAAGGTGAAAGTTTTTAATAAGGCGAGTTCTCGGAGGAAGCAGATATGTCTTCGAGTAGTTGATATTTACCAAGTGAATATCAACAAATATTCTCTTGAATTTACTAAATGTAGGACTATTTCTGGGAGATCTTAAATGCTTTCGAGAAAGGAGAGCGCGAATTGAAGAAGGACGACCGAAAAAAACATCAAAAGTTCGGCTTGTTTATCGCGTGGGCATTGAAATTTTCAACACCATTTCATTAATATCTTGATAATGATGTCAGTTTGTGGTATTTTTTTCCAAATGTTAATAATATAATCTTCTATGATTGCAATGACGCAATTAAGACACCTTCTGTTTGGTAAAAACTTGTTTAGCCGGTATATACGAGCCATAATCATAATCATTGTTTTGAATTCAACTTAGGGCAAATAAAAAAAGTCTGAAAGAAAAACCTAACGTCGAGTTCGTAAGTTAGGTCTGAAACACTGAAAACATTCGAGAGAAGCATAATGACTCAAGTGAATTGAACAGCTATCGACAAACTTACAAAGGTGAGACAACCTTCGTTCAGTTTTGCGAAGTAATTGTGAAATGGATTATTATTTTTTTTTTTTAAGGAAAGGTTTAAGATATTCATCCGGTCTTAATGTCGAGTCAACAAGGCATTGTTAAACGCACTGTTCGTGAAGATGTTAACTGGATAGTTTTACTGATGCTATTTGCTGTTCTGCTCGCATATTGTTGCTATTTTGGAGTTTATTAAAAAAAACAACATTCACTTCGCGCAAGATATAATCTGAAGGTAAATATCGAGCATTTGGAGTTCTTTTTAGCATGACGACGACTTAGGTATTTAAGCTTTTAATTTTCTGTTCCTCAAGTTTACCAGTTCTCTTCAACCGACCGACACGAGTCTGTCTGCTTCTGCCGAAAACAGGAAAAAAACCAAAATAAAACATCTACATGTCATATCTCCTCAAATTCAGAGCTAATCTCGATTATTCATATTTATTTCGCTGTAAACTTTTATTTGTGTAGAAAATAGTATGAGTTATTCAGAAAAGAAGATCTAAACATCCAATCAAGGAAATTTCGATATTTATGAGATGGATTTAGTAAGAGCTTGGCCGGAACCAACTCGAACAATTCATGATTAATTTCCACCTGTTTCAATGTGCCAGCAAACTGTCGACTGACGGGCAATGAATTAGCATTTTATAACGCTGATATAACAGATACACACACAAAAAATAGTTTTTAAGATTCTCCTTCAAATTACCGGACGTAATTATGCAGTTTATAACTACCAAAGGCGAGCACAAGGATAAAATCTTATTTTATCTTTACCTTCCAAGTTTGTGGGCGCTTTTGAAACCAAAATTATGCCAATAGCCACGTTTCCTGCGATTGGAAAACGTCGATTGATTGATTAAAGACAAAACTCATTGAATATTTTTTGACACGAGAAGACGTAGACGTAAAATTGTACTCCTGTAGAACACGGGCATTAACTATAATTTTCAGTTTGTTATTTGAATTGTACTCTGTTGCTTTGTTTTGTCTTTGTTTATTCAGATATTTAATCGAAATATAAAGCTCTATTTCTATTTCTCTTCAAAGTTCAGCTAATTATTTTTTTCGGAAAAGAAATTTTTAGCTGGATCCAGTTTTACAGTTCAAACACTGAATATTCAGTTTGTTTGTTAGGTATAGATGAAGTGTTGATATTTGTTTACATGTTTATCAAATTTGATATAATAGTTGTTTATAGCATAGTTTGGTTGATCGAGGTGAGCGTATCCAAACTGCGTGATAGCTCGTGATAGTTGATGAAGTTACTGACATGATATTTCGTGTTCAACTGAGGATCGTTCGTCTTCCAGCAGACACGAAGCAGCCGAGGATCTACAGCGCAGACTTGAGTTCAGATTTTTCATAAATGGGTGACAAGAACTAGTTGGAAAGCATAAAAACATGCCTTTTTGGCTGGAATAACATTTTCAATTGCTTTTCAAATGCTTGTCGCTGGACAAATTTCACATGCACATGATATTTTCAATTTAAATATTCATGAAATTCGTATAAAAGTTGTGCCTAGGTTTCATCATCACGAGCGCCTGAAAACGCGCAGATGTGCGTCTAGTTGACACTACCTTTAGCTATCATTACACATCGTGAGCGTTTGAATAATGACTTTACCCATACAACTGACTGAGTTCTACCTATGCCTACGACGAGTGAAGGATTAAACAAATGAAGAGTTGTGAATGAAAAGGAAAATGATTGAAACGGGATAAAAGCATAAATGACTCGCGCGAAGGGTGACTTGATAGCGCTAAGGAAATACACTCGGCTTGAAGAGAAACGGCAATGAAACAACGAAAGTTTCATATGCATTTTCTCTTTTACCGTTCCTCAACCGAAATGTTTCTGTTAGAAATCTCATATGAAAAGCCCTTTTCAGATGTAATACTGGTCTCATCATGGAAAACATCGTCTATGTCACAGGCAATGTAATTAAAGGTGCAATCCAACCTTTACACGTAAATATTAATTTGACGATTGGAGAGAGACTGGAACAAAAAGTGATCGAGGGAGTGAGAGAAGCGAGATAACAGGGCTATTTTTTCTTTCTAAGGTCTATTTCTTTCCATTGCCTTCAACAATGAAGTCTGCGAGTTATTGTGAAAAAAATCCATACTTTTATGTTTGAAAATACGTCTCTCGAGATGGAAAGTACAGTGAAGTAAACATGAAGGAAAGGTGAAAAACTGTATCCAAGAATGACAGTAATGACCTTAGCTTCAGTTCGAATGACGCAACCTTCGCGCGCAGTTTACGTTAAAAGAATCCTTTAATGAATTGATCACACCGCCAAGGAAATTAACGGCTTAGTTGCTATTGGTTCCCACCTTATATCGACCGACATTCCAGACTCCTTTAATAACACGACTAATTTATGGCAACGCCACAACAACAGACCCTCTCTTAGTGTTAGAGGTGTTTGATGAGTTTTATGCCCATTCCCTTTTAACAAGAAAGGTAGGTAAAAATAAAATTTGTTTATTGGAATGATTTACACCATTTTCACTCCACTGTCCTAAAATTAGGGAAAAGCCTCAAGGGTTATAGTCTCAACAAAATGGCTCATGAAAAATCTTTTTTATTTTGGACTAAAACAGGTCTATCCTGTTTAGTTAATTTGGCATCATAACATTTTAGCAGGCATGTCCTGTTCTTCAACTCCCATCTTATCATTAAGGAAAACATAGGGATATTGGAAAGTTAGAACTCTACCATCCTTTCATGAACATGTTCAAAAGTTTCCGCTCTGTCATGAAATGCACTATCAGAGTGATTGTGGCATTGATAAGTGCTCTATTCAGTCACCGTGGTTGTCTAAGTGTGTCACTCTGACCTATTCAGAAATCAAGTTTTTTTGGATCAAATCACTTAGAGCCCTAACTCAGGATTATTTGATAAAAATTGATCTTCTCTCAGGCTCCTCTAAGTGATAATGAGGCATGCCGTCATCGCGTATTAGGAAGTCCCACTTGAATTGCTGTCTTAGCTTTGTAACTAGCGTCCATTTTCTAATTGGCCGATTTATAGACGGATGAAAGGAAGTTTATTTACCTGCTCGTAAATATTGCTTCATGTCGTAATTGCCTGTGACCTAAGTTTAACTTTTTATTTGCCTCTTTTTTTTCCTCCCTTGGTTTGAGAGGATATTTGTCCGCGAACTTGACCTGTTCCGGGAAGCAAAACGGTTTTCACAAACGAAGCTCGAGGAAAACTATGTGCTTTAAGCCAAATGGAGGCTATTGTGTATGCCATCCTTCAAATGATCGTGAAACACGGGGGATAAAATTTTTGTTAACAGCTTACCGTTTACTTCGTGGGATGTTCACTTTTCAGCGTTCTCCGGTACGATTTTATAGGCAATTACACCAGTTCCTTTGTTATAACAACAAAATGCTCTCTCGTCTGAATTAAGTTCTAAACGAAGACTTTTAATTGTATTGGACATAATGTTTGAAAATTGAGGAATATCACTTGGAGTATATTAAACAGTTATTCCATTCGCACTTGTTGGATAAACGGCCCAAAATATCGATAGATCTTCCCAAATTTATTTTTTAAGAACAAACGAAATGAAAAAAAACACTTACCACATTTGTAGAGCATGTTGTAATGGCTTATAACCCATGATGGCTAAACCGAAGAAAAAACTTGAATTTCGTTATCTAATGATCCAGTTTTTAATAAAATGAGATATTCCTTAGTTTTAGTTGGGCCTGTGACGTGTTTAGACCGAGCGCAAATATTTGATGGACTTAAGTCATATCATATCAGGTCAAGATCTCTTGATCAGGTACATTGCTACGTTTAAGATGGGATTGCCTTTTCTTGTAAGCCTTTACCAAGCAAACGGGAGGAATATTTAGAGAAGCGGTCAAAAATCATTGAATTACGTTAGATATTTGTCAGCTACTCTGCCGTGGACAGGCTCTTAAATTTGAGTACTGCGAATAAAGTAGTTTTATGTGTCTGCAAGGTTTTTCTATTTGCGTGATTTGGGTAGACAGGTGCGTACACCTACCAGAATATTAATTTTAAACATAGTTGCGTGTTGAACGCTTATAATTGTTTGAGGTGATTACGCGGGACCCATTTCAAGTGAAATATAAAACTTTTAGTTTCTACTAAATAATGAAACAGTTTAGATTCTTTTGTTTTGCGGCCTAAGGACATAACGCTATTCTATCGAAAGTTAGAGAGCTGAAGGAAGATTATGTTGTGAAATACTTTCATATCGAGAAAACACGGTAATTGGAAAAAAAAAAACAATTCAGAGAACTTTGATCAAGACCATTGTTCAAAACTGAAACTTTGAACCTGGTTAAAAAAAGAGTTAAATATATTGTTTTTGTCTAAATCGTATCTCCATTGTGATTCTTTGTCATTTTATTATGGTGAGTAAGAAATTGAAATCAGAAATTATTTCTTAGAAACCCTAAGTCGAAACTAGCCTGCTACTACTAGACCTGGATAATTCAGATTAAATTTTAGATTGTGGTCTGGTTGAAATTATTGTAATGGACAATGGAGTCTATTTTGTTTCGCAATATAGGTTATTCTGTCTGTCAATCAGTTCTTTGGCAGATGGCATCATAGCATCTTTAGTTGTCCGCACCAGTGATATTTGCATAAGATTAAAGAAAGCGTCGTAACAACGGATTCAAGATTTGGCGAGCGCGTTTCAGGGTATAGCTGCTCTTAATAGGTGAGTGAGACAGCCATAACGAGTTTTCCTTCCTTCAGTGGTCTCTATCATTTTGACGAAGCATTCGCTTTGCGCTGTGTTGAACAGACAATTAATTGAAAATTTGTAAAGTAGCTCGTGTTTATGATTTTATTGCCAAACAATTTTTCGAAATTTCGTTGCCAATGCTCGCCTAAAAGTTTCGTTATTCTGTTGCAAATGTTTCCAAGCTTGTGAAATAACCTGGCTGGGAAAGAGATCATGTTTATCTGGCCCCGGGAATAGTTGATCATTATGAGTCCAATATGACCTGATGTATTTATTTCTAGGCGTTCCGAATAAATTGAAAATTATTAAAAGCCGTTATTACCATGAGAAATACTTCGAATTGGGAATGATTTTGGTTCTGCGATTTTGTTTCTACAATACCTTAAATGCAAAAGTCGACCTCTAAAGATGAAGTTTCACTATAGCTGTCACAAACGTTTCGTTTTGTGACGAGCATTCAAAATGAATTTTCTGTCTCACTTTTATTAAAATAAGGTGGCCTGGAAAGGCGACGACCTGACAATATCACTACGTCATTTGAATTAGCCTTCGTAACAGAGAAACGAAACTTCAAGTGTTCCACGTTGTACCGGAATAAGCATTTTAATTTGCTAGTTTGTTTGCGTTAAAATACCTCTTTCTGCTTTGTATAGTTACCTCCGTAACAAGTATTTCAGATTTGGTGATGCCAAAAGTCACGTTCGAACTGACATTAGTGACTGACATTTTCGCAATTTTCTTTCAAGAAGTCGCTATCTTAAACTAGTTTTTTTATAAAACTTTATCTTTGGCAGCCACTTATGATAACAGATGGCCGTAATTTGCATGATGTATAATGAAAACAAAGACAAGTACAGCGTGTAAGTGATTAAAATTAAAAACCAGACACGTCAAATCGGGAATGCTTATCGAAAAAAATATCACCAGATTTTGAACAGGTCTAAATGCTGCTAGAGAAAAATCGAGTTAAATTAGCTAAAAGCTGCGATAACTTGGTCGTCTGAATTTGCTTTTGTGTTTGTCACCGCCCTGATGGCGGTCAAATGACTGAAAACGTTTTTGCATCTGATCATCATTGCTTTTGAGTTTTTCCGACGATCATGCCTATTACTGAAATATTGAGTCTGCAGAAACGTTTTTCAAATATGTCAATTACAGTTTAGGAATAAAGCCGGTACAACTATTTATGCAGTCAATTTGTTTACAGTTGATCGTGTGGTCTGATGCCCAGGTGAGAGTAGCCATTAGGCAGTGTAGATGGAAAAAATATGAGAAGTTTTCAAGATACCTACCTGAATGGACGTGTAAGTTTTTGTGCAGGGCGATTTGTAACTAAGAACCCTTAACGATGACGAAATTTTCTCATGAAGATCACCCGAGAAAGACAGTTGTCAAGGAAGTTGAAAAGGGCTGAAGGGAAGTTGTACTCCCGCAGGTATTCTTGACAAATGTTGTTTGCGAATGTAAAAGAGGTCAAATTTTCCCTGACAGGTGCTTTTGATAGAGAAAACTTGCAGGTGTAAATACGGCTTCGTTGATCTGGGCGGCTCCGTCAGTCAACGTGACAGCAACCTATCATATCCGTGTTAAGTTACAGGCATAACACATAGTTTGTCTTGCTGACCCTAAGTTATCATTTATTAAGTCATCATTCTTTTGAATACAGCCCAGTTTCTGGTTAGATCCATCTTTTTAGCACTGTACTGCCTTATGCTAGCTGTCTAGTTTATTTAGGATTATCGCAATACTACTATAATTATTTTTGGAAAAAAGAAAAACATTACCTTTTTTTCCACCCATTACGGGGGCATTCATCAAACAGCAGAAACTAATTAAATGTTGCAAAGCTTATTTTTAAGTTTTAAGCATTCAGAGGAAAAAAATCAGGGTTTATTTCGCTATTTTTGTCACCTCCATGGACATAATAGTAGATGTTCAAGTCTAACCAGGTGCAAACTCTCCAGTTTTCTTATCTTAACGTAGTAAAGGGGCGTCTGCGGATCACCGTTAAGAGAATGTGGGCATCTTGCACCAAATAACAGTTTAAGACTGTGTACAGAGTGTTTGTATGCTGGATCAAAAATTTTCAGATTCGACTGTTTCAAGTTCTTTCTGGTAATAACGACTCTATTAACAATTGAATCTGCCATGAATCTGTAGAGGATTACTTATAATCAAGGAGATCATGCAATGGCAACACTATTAATAGCAAAGCAAGGTTTTCTTGATGCAAATTTTGAGTGAATAATTAATTGCTTTAGACCGCGTAACACACGATCGTCGAATTTGGAAAGATGGTAGATTTTTGTCATAGATCGTAAGAAATGAATTGAGCATCCTTTCCTCAGCTCGAAAGTAGCTGTAAGAAAGACTCGAGGTGCATAAAACAGGGCCAAAGTGCCTGAAAGAAAAAAAACTAAAAATGTGTCATATATTTTAAAATAAAGAAAATTGGCTGTATTTTGGCTGGAACGATAATTAGACTCAGAAAAGTACATTTAACTAATTGACCAATCGGATATATTGGAGACTGTCAGCTGTCAAATAGATATTAAATGTAAAAATGGTAAAAGGAAAAAAGTTTAAAAAAATTACTGATACATCTTCCTGTAATCGCTGCAATCTGGTTTCTTTTCTTTTCAGAACTAAGTGATGGAGGATTTAGAAACGCTACCAAAACGAAGGTAAGTTATTATTGCTGGGGCGGATGAAAAATAGTAAAACAGATGCTCACCACCTGAGAACGATAACTCGTCAAAAGTCTTATTCATGTTTTTTAGTGTGAGATCTTCTCTAACGCGTAGTCAATTCATCTGTCTAATAATTCGAGGCGGAATAAATATTGAATTGTGATCAAACTTTCATTCCGTTTGAACAGAACTTTTAAAAAAAATTACCACCGAGAGATGATCTTATTGTTAAAACACACGCAACAACTTGCATAATAAAGGTATGAAGAGTTCGATTGAGTCTTTAGGACGCTCAACATTTTTTTTTGTGGCGAAATAGGTAAACCAAAACTGACATCACTTTGGGAAAAAAAATCTTTGGTGTAGAGTGCCAAGAAATTGACTTTGTTGTATCTCCCATCATTGACAGGAAGCTGAGTGATCCTGGAGATGCACCTTATGGTAAGTTTTTTTTTGTTTGTTTTTTTTTTATGCTGATAAATTAATAAAGTACTAGATGTCTTTTAATGTATAATTTTACTATTTTAAAGTGTCTATGACACAAATTTTTTTTGTATATTCCGGTTGATAGCTGTATTTAAAATTAGAACAAATCGACTTTAGCGCCTAGCGACCATTTTTTGTGCACTGAAAGTGTAATTTGGCGGCCAAAAAGTGTCCCCATCAAGTGCGCGGCTAAAACGATCAGTTACATAGCTGTGACGTAGAAAACGTCGGCAACTATGGTGGAGAAAGGAGAAATCTGGAAGAAAGGACGAACGCATTGCATGGTCGAAGCGCCAAATGATGTTAGGTACAAAAATAATATAAACATACCGGGTCTGATTTCTATACACTACTTTCCAAAGGAAGTAGCTGTATGGCCAAAATGGTCGCGTTTCGATCTTCGACATCGAGGAAATTTTATTCTTCAATGTCGTCTGCCTCATGTTCTTACCGGCTTCGAAGACGGGTGTTACGAAAACATGCCACAAGTCAAATCAGGGGAAGATGGCCAGTGAATTCAGCTAAAAAGAATGCTGATTAAGGGGCCTATTCCCACACGGCACACGATCGTTCAACATTCTTTTCGGCTGACATTTCGCAAGCGAAGAATGGTGAGCTTCTTATTGTTTATTTCACGTGCTTGAGATGTACTCATACTTCATCTCTTTCCTCTTGACTACATTTGCGCTTTTCTTATTGCATGAAAATCCTACCGATTTCAGTTTCCATCGTATTTTAATAACAGAAATACATCATTTGTAATAAAGTTTAAGCCCTTTCCTGAGCTTACCGATATCCTGTTGCGTGAACAGTGCGAAACCTCTAGCGGATACTGGCATAAACACCAGCTCGAAGGGGCCGTGTATTCTCCTAAACCTAGGTTTCCGAAATACATCCCACGAGCCATCAATTCCCCCTTGCCCTCAAGAAACCAAAGGTAGTAACAATAGCAAAGTCATTATGATGACAGCACTGCCCGATGACTTCTCGGCGAAAAATCATCGTGCATCGTGATACAGCTGATCCTTTCGTCAAAAGTTAGCTTTCGGTTTGCTAAGGGAAATACTCTACAGTAACGAAACTCTAGAGCACTGACTAAGGGGAACCTTCGCCGCACTCGAAGGAACGAAAATGTTATGGCAACACGGAAACGAACACAGCTACCCATTCTTAACATGTGTTTCGTCATAGAAAAAAAAAACACAAACTCAACAAGCTGAACACTTTCAGTAACGGGAGTTGTTTGTTCTAATCTTGACCTAAACACCGCAGGCGAGAAACCGTCATGGTCAGTCTTATTCGAAGTCTTCGTTTGATGCATGCGGTTCTCCTTCGTAGGGCTGAACCGTACTGGCAACTTCCATTTCTTCTTTTCTACTAGAGTACGATGTATCAGAACTCTCGGTAGAGCTTGCTGAAGGTAGGTATACATCGCCATCGGAAATTATTTCAAGAGTATTTCAAAGCTGACTGATACAAAATTACAACAGATGTGAGAGATTTGTAAGTGTCAACTGAGAGTTTCACAGTTTTCTACGTCATCACCCGCTTATTCATTACCAGTCCACGGGACACTTTTAAGACAAAATAAGAGCACTTTGGGGCCCGAAAAAATTGAGTTTTAGGTTTTTGGAAATTTTTTCTTTTACCGGAATTGGTTTGTACAAATGATAAGCTAAATATTTTGGCCAAAAATTTCGTTTCATAAGCACTTTAACGTCCAGCTGGTGCCAGCCGCTGTTTGCATAATAGAGTTATAGAAAAAACTACTCATTGCCAATCTCTCTTATTTAACCTCTTCAACGACCATCTTTCAATATCGGTAACGGTACGAAGGTGCCCACAATGGGCATTTAATCATTGACTAACGACAAAAGATTATAAAACAGGGTAACAAAAGACGGGAAAAGTAGATCAAGAAGCTAAATATTGAGCCTTAAGATGTCCGGAACGAAAACTCAACAAACCGAGAGACTTCCTGTACTTTCATTTTTTCCACACCATCAGTCTTAGGTTTCTTTTTTTTTTAATAATGATATCATTACTTTGAGTAAAAATCAGATATCATATTCACCCCAATCCTCTACCTATAACGGTTATCATTATGTAGCGTCAACTTTCCTGTGTGTCTTAAAGGCCCATTTTCACCCTTGATGCAACGTGCGCCGCGACCCAATTTCCTGTAACACGAAACTCCCAGATTACTGAAAACCTTCTAAAATCGTCTTTCTCGAGAGCCATCCTGGACGTATAGTCGTCTGTTTTACGGTAAATACATTCGCCGTTCGTCATTTTATAGTTTCCTTACGGTATTTTGAGTTTTGTCCGGTTCGAATCTTTCTTAGCGGCTTGACCGCTTTGCTTGTGACTTAGCATTATCTTATTCTTTTTTTTGTTATAATCATCAGCAATGTGTTCCATCAAAAGGAGCTTCAGATAAAGGCATCCTTGTATAAAATTTTCAGTTTTTTTTCTTCGCCAAACAGATCAGCCGCTCTTCTTGAATCGCGCGTTGAACTTGTATGACCTGAACACTGAGGTGTTACTGAGTCGAATTTTTAACTTTTTCAAAAGACGTGAGGTTTGACCATTTCAGTTTCTCTAAGCGACCTAAAAGAACGGTGTTTCTTGGTGGAGATGAAATAAAATGGTTTTTGGAATGTACCTCTCCCTTTAAAAACATGCCGTACCTTTGCTAGCGGTAGTTTGTCGCGGTTTTATATCCCTGTCATTTATTGTAGTCTTCGTTATTGGTTTTTTTTATCTCCTTGCAATTTGATTGTCCACTAACACATAATATGTGATAAAAAGGTCCAAGTGGAAAAGGTGCTGCTCCGCTGGTGGATGAGGCCAATGTTGAGGACGCAATTACCTGCCAAAAGCCGCATAACGACGATAAAATCACACGGAACTTTAAGCGTGTTCACCCTGAATTCTTCAAATGCAATGGAAATATCATCGAACGCACAAGAACAGCGGACAGAAAGGAGAGTGATAGCACAAACGCACTGCAACAGGAAAATGCCCTGACTTTGTCAAAGATGGAACCAATGGAGAATGCGCGAGCTCCCAAGAGGAGACTGAAAATAGTGCATGCGCACAACACGCAAGGTGAAGAAAACTACCTGAAGATATATTTGGTTTCAAACATCAATTTCAATTCCATTGTGGAAGCCTCCAATTTAATCTATACAAGGTTGAGAATTTTTACGAATATATACTCAGCATTTTGAAAATATCCAACAATATGTTTCTTTAGAAAGAAGCAATGGAAACTCGTCAGACGACCCGATAGTCACAGAACAGTATTCCCCCGAGGGTGTGTTTCCAAGTCCTCTCACGGAAGAGAACGTGCGCAATGTAAGTCATTTATTCAATATCATTGCAAATTGGCCCTCTCTAGCTTAAATGTACAAAATTTAGAAGTTAGGTGTTAAACGACTTCATTCTTTTCTTTCTTCATAAGGTTATCAAGAAACTGATTAAAGATCACACGAGGGAGGCAGCTGACAACGCTGATATTTTACGGGATAAAATATCCGCACTAGAAATTGAAAACAAGCGACTTAAGCATAGGGTCGTGGTCTTGTTCAGAGCGCTCAAAGAAGTACTTTCCCGTCGGAGGAATCAAGAGGTTTGACTACTAGTATACCTTACACGTGATTTTAAAAAGAATTGACACCTACATACGATGCCTCTAATTTCACAACGTGGCAAATAACTTCCCAGGTCGATTTAGCATTATGAGCCGAACCTCACTCTGCTTTAATTGGTTATGGGTGGAGCGTCGGAAATTCTGTATCAGTAGTATTGCCTTCATTAGAATTTTGTCAATACTTTTGTTTGATCACCATTTATGACCCGTTTTTCGGACGGTTAAATAATGCTTCATATTTTCATTGTTGGTTTTTCCTTCCCTCCCTTTCCAAAAAAGCAACGATAAAACAATTGGAATTAAATGCGACCTTTCATCAATACATTTGTGAATGCAACGTCGCTTTTGAATTAATTGCAAACGGTAATTCAGTGCGTGGTATTTTACGATTTTTCAGGTAATTCCGACCACTGTCCAGACAAGTTCGATACAGATGAAACCTTGCGTTCTAGCAAACAATCTTGGATCTCCACAAACATTACCCGGAGAGGTAATGCTTGCATCTCCCACTAATAATTGCGGTAAAACGGATGTATCTAAATCCCGTGAGTTGCCTACCGATGTTTCAATCTACAATTCTCTGGCCCCTGTTACTGATGGAGTCGGTTCATTCCATCAGAGGTGTAAGTCACCTAAAACTGTTGTTAGTGGACTTCATCCAGGGATATCCCATGATGCCACATCCCCTCCAATCCCAAAAAGAACACCAAATATCCACACCACCTCCTTGAATGGTTCAGCTTTGAATTTCCCGATGAAATCCATCTGCGAAGAGAAGGCGTCTTCTTTTACTCATCCACCAACGTTCTCAACAACATTTTGCACAAATCAAGTTCAACATTCACATGAAAGTATGGCCCTAGCCAATCAAGGGTACTGTACAGTTACAACTTCTTCAACCAAAGCCGTTATGGTATCTAAAGCTATTCAGAATACCGTGCCCCTTCTCACTCAAGTCGTAAATGAAATTGTGCCAAACACTGTGACAGAGATGCAAGACCAGTCTCACGTGACAACTGAACCTAAACTTTCCAAAGTTCCCAACGACTTCAAGGAGTCTCGGCTTTGCAGTAATGCTGAAATAGACCAAGTTCCCGCTAAAGTTTCTACCCAGAATGGAAGTACATTAGTATGTTCTCCTCTTGACCAGAACATAAAATCGCACACTTGTAACGAAAGTTCCCCCAAGAGGCACAGGGAGAAGTTAGTCGACCAGCAGTTCGAAGATCTGAAGAGCTCGGAGGCAGAGAGCAAACAGGGGTATGAAAGGAAAAATGTCTTGGAAACCAAAACCAACGGATTAAAGAAGATATCGAGTCCTTCCAATGGGTCGCCTAAAATCAAATTCTTTCCTCAAAGCCTTCCCCGTGTTTCTCATGAATGCTGGAAGGGTGGTCTGCATACTGAGTCTCCAAGAACTGCCTCCATCACTTCACAGCAAGTTCCTTTGTCAAACTCTGAGTGCTCTTTTGTATTGGACATTCCCATCCCTGGTTATGGTGAAAGAAAAAGTACGCCATTAAAAGACGCTGGGCTAGGAAATGCAAATTCTTCTCCAAAACTTGGTTTAGTAAAATCCACTTCAGTCTTCACCCCAACACCTCAAAGGATAATACCTAACGGCAGTATTGAGGTTAACAGACCAGATCCGAGTCCGTACTTCGTTAATGACGACAAAGTAAACAAGGATAAGAAAGCAATGCATCAAACTCCTTATATGGTGGAAAAGTCAAGCTTGAACCTCCAATTACCTTCAAAAAGTTTGGCTGCTGTATCTAAACACTATTGCTACAGTCTTAATCATGGACAAGAGTTCTTTAACGGAACAGTAAGAACTGATGGTACAAAAACTGTTTCAAGTCCTTTGACTGAGAAACCAAAGTCATCAGCCCACGAGGAAGAGAGATCGAACACGGGCATTATTTTGCCAAATTTCAAAAAAAGAATAAGTACCCATTCCCCAAGCGACCAACACACGTTTCCCCATCTGGAGAGAAGTGCCATTTCTCAAGTGACCGAAAGTTTCTCTAATAAAAATTTAGCTGAATTCACGTCGGGTAGTACAAGGAAAGTCCGAGAGGCGCCTTCTTCCGCTAAACCAGGCAATTTTCACAACTTGCTTTCATCTGCCAAATTTTACAATGGGCGTGAGTGCAACCAGCACACAAGGCCATCCGAAGGCTCCACTACCAGCGGTTATCATGTTCCTGTCAAACCGAAGTTCTCTCCTTATGCAACGAAAAGTACAAAACCAGAGAAACAGGTTCCTTTGATGGGGTCTAATGGGAGATTCGCCCCACCAGTGACCGAATTGCAGGCACCAGATCCACACGTTGTGGCTCACATACCACAGTTTCTGAATGCTGAGGCAAAGTTCGCCAGGAATCAGTATTTCATGTTACCGATGAGGCATCAAATCGAGACTGCAAAACGCAGTAGTAGAGAGTTGGACACAGAATTAGCAAGAATCTCTTGTTTGCCTGAGAATTCATCCGGCAGAGACACATTTACCGCTAACTGCCTCTGTTGTACTAAGACGCACCTGAGTTATGACAAAGAGCGACTTCTGTTGCAACTTCTTGAATCCAATCGAGCATCGTTCATTCCACAGCGTACACCAAGGACCTATAATAACTTTCCAGCTACAGACAAGCAAAACTTACTTAGCACTCGATCAGGGAATCCGGTTACACTGTCAAGTCATAACTCTGAAATAGGAAATCGTTACGTTAATCTCCAGCCTCAAAACCATGCTAAAAATAGATTGAAAAAGCCTGCAAGACCGTCGTTATTCGATATCAGTAACGGAAAAGCAGACAGTGTAGTCTTACCTGGTAACCCTCCTTCAGACGTAGAAGGCTGCAAAGCGAGATCATGGGGAGCAACGTGTTCCTTTACACCTCAGTTGGAACTATCCAGTTCGTGCCAACGATACCTCGATCGGCTCAAAAATTCTACTGGACTTCCAACATTATGTCAGCAAAATACTTTCCACTTAGATTCTACACCTACACCACATTTAGAAAGAGAAGCAATCAGTATGAATGAGAGTTTGCGTGCTTTCCCATTTTCCCCTCCGGGTAGTTTAATAACGCAAAAAAACAGTCAACAAAATGAGACTTGCAGTGAGCAGCAAGTGAATCTTAAATCACCAAACGCAGAGAACAGTTAAGAGAACGACATAAACTTCAGAAACCTCTCCGCTTCCGTTATCACCAAAAAAAAATTCATCAGTCCACACCAGCGGCAAATACGAGTCTAGGAAAAACAGTAATTCCCTCACATTCTATTAAAAACTCATCAATAAATGAAGAACATTCTCAAGAGCTCAAAACAAGACAAAATGTCAAAGCAAAGTTGATTGTAGAGAGCCGACACTGAGATAAAGATGTAAGCGGTGAGTTACAGACGCAGGTATCACGCCTTTTTAAAATTAGCGTGCAAAAAACTGTTTTGTCGTACACGGAAAGATTTAAGGCGGCCGCCCTCCGCACTTACCGGTTTCTCAATGAGTTTGAGAACGTAGCGGTCTTTTTTGTTCTCGGCTTAGCACACTATTCACAGCATAAAGGCGATTTTGGGCCCCGAAAACACGGTCGAGGGAGTATTTTGTTTTCCAATTTATTTCTACGTGTAACTGTTAGGGGCAGTGAGATTATTGAAAACCGCACAAAAATAATGGTGAGAATAATAAACTTTGCGTAAATTTTTAGCACATAATTCCCTTTTTTTTTTCTTATCAAGGATCAGATTTCAGAGTTAAACGGAGCTACGTTTTGAGTTGTTTTTAGTGTCCCAGAGAATCGCCTTTGTAGAAGTAGTCCTCCTTAAGTAAAATTTGGTATCATGGGCTGGCTCACCATTACTAGGGTAATTCAGTATTATCAACTGAGTCGATAACGTCAATTGGCCATCGTAAAGAGTTTCAAAGCTGACGTTTCGAGCGTAAGCCCCTCGTCAGAGCGATGTCTATCGTCTATCGCTCTGAGGAAGGGCTAATATAAGGCGCATGACCAAAACCAAATTCTACAATTCCCCGGAAACAGTAAAAATGGCCGACTATTCATATGGTAAACTTAAATATACATAGAAATAATAGATAAACATATAGGTGGTGCGACTTACATGAAAACATTAAACTATCACACAATAACCAAACCAAGCTCGTGACCCTCCGAACATAACTGCAATCAGCTCAATGCCCTCTGCCTTATGTTCATTTCAGTATTCGTGCAACTAAAGACTAGAAGGAAAGTGAAGTTCGTTTATGTAAACTCGGTGGAAAACATGTTTATGTCTCAATCAGAAAAGCTTTGAGTTAAAAGAAATTTGACTAATTTAACCTTGACTTTACGACGGCGGCCGATGAAGTTTTGCCGAGATAAAGCCGCTTTGTCTCGGCGAAACTTCGTCGGCAGACTGAAAGTCGATAAAAGATGCATGGTGAAGGGCGTAATCGGTTGTTATGGTAACGGGGGTTTAAAAGTTGTCATCCGTTGAATTTTTGCTGCCGATTTTCAACGTGGTGAATACATTTTCAATGAGTGTGGATGGTTTTCGTAGAATCCAAAATTACGTGGACACATGAAAACTCTGACCGTCCCCTAACATTAAGAGCTTGAAAATTGCAATTACTAAAATAAAAGTATCGTACTTCTTTATCGGAAGCGCTCATTTGTGTGAAAACCAACATACATCGAAGCCCTAGGACTGACGAATGAATGAGGTTTTTGTTCTTGCAAGCTTTTTCCCGCATCATTGAATCCTTCCCAACTCCGCCGGAAGTCTATTTCCCTTTCCGCTTGTCAGTTTATTAGACACGTTTATGTTCAAACTGTCCAGCTACGTGAACTGAAAATTAACTTGGTAAACAGATAACGGGTCGTAACCTAGAGAAAAGATAACGAGAAACGGAAGATGTAGAATCTCTAACATAGGTAATTCCTCTGTTGGAGGTTGTTACCTTAAAGACAACCCGCTCCCCATTTTCCATTTGTCCGGTTGGAAACGTGTTAAAAATACAGTGAAACATAAAACTGCGGCTCACCGCAGCTCTTGATATCCTGGCATCTGGCATCGTTTTTGTATAACACCCTGAGTTACGTGTTATTAATACCAATACAACAGCAAAGGTCATCCTAAAATTTCAAGAGCGGTTCACAATCTGTCTCGAAGCTGACATCAAACTAGTTATCTGGAAACTCAAAGATAGTTGCTAAGAGTGTGAGGTCACTGTCCAGGTGTGTATGTATCTTTAACGTCGTTAACATATAAGCATTTGGTGGTGATTTATTAAGACAAACTCGACTGGTTCTATACACAATAGAAAGCGCCGTCCAACAGTTTGTTACTGAACCTAGTTTATCTCAGCTCCAACTCTTTTCACGTCACTTTCGTTTAGCAAATGTCGGTTATATAGATCTGAGTTAGAATTCTAGTCAGGTGAACCAGAAATTGTCATTATCGATTCACTGACGCTAATTTCAGAATGACGTGTTGGGCAATGTCCGGCTTCAACTTGCTTTTAGTATTAGCTTTTCGTCAGACTGGTGAAACAAAGCGTGAAACTTCCAACTGAAATTACATATCCCGTCCTGAAGCTGCTGGTGAAACTATCCATCTGATACTGCATGGAACCTCCAGATTAAAGGTATCTCGATATCATTAACCCTTTGCTCCGTAAGAGTGGTCAGCATCTAATTTCTCCTTACAATATCACTACCGAATCACGCTTTAAGGTCATGAGAATAAAGGAAATGATCAACAACTTAGGAAGGTCTTGATTGTTGAACAAAATCTCCTTATCTGCACCTCAGGAAATGTGTAAATAACAGTATGGAGAATATGCTTGATGATGTTAGGGCGTCAGGGATTTAAGATGACTCTTCCATTTTCTTTTGATAAAAGCTTCACCGAATTGTTAATCGTTTCCGACATCTTCATACCTAAGAACCTCCGCTAATTTTTAAGGGTCGGTTATTTACACAAAGTCTAACCCAAACCACGGTTTTACGCAATCAATGGGCCTTAGGCTCTCTTTATAAGAGGGCTGATTTAATCACATAATTGTTCTTGGCACTGTTGGCTTTCGGCCCTCTTGGCACTTTTTACATAAATAAATGTTCAGGTAAAAGATTCCGCTAAATTGAGGATTGGTTAGGACGTAGTTTTGTTGAATGATAATCTCATCAAAGCGACAACGGAGATGAAAGAAACTTACTCAAAAATGTCTACACTTCAAATCGTTCACGCATGTAGAATTCCTTACTTGCGTATCACCGTTTACTGAGTATTTAATATGAATTTTTAAATTACGGTATATTTCCGAAAAATGGGTGGCGTAGACAATAGTGAAAAAAAGATGATCAGACTACATCTTCGAAAATCATTTCATCTCCCAGTGGCACAGATGAATAACATTTTCAGTAAATTAATTCGAACAATAACCACGTGGAATATTACAGCCTCGATAGTGGGTTCCACCCACGACTGGTCTTCCTTTCAAGGTTTGGAACTTGCATATTTGTTTTCGCGATGGAAGATTCATGGAAATTTCACCTTTCTTCTTATGTAAGTTATGCGTACATATCACGTGAATAGGACGAAATTAGAAAAAGGAGTTCTCTAGAGTATCATCACATGACGCTCAATAGGAAAACAAAACATACAATCTAAAGAGGTCTGTTATGAGTAAAAGTATACTCAAAGCGTTGAGATCGAAGGAATATCCACTTAAAAAACAACAAGAGGGTGGGTGAGGCTCAGATAGTGTTATGCAAAACAAACGACGTAATTGTGCCTAACAGTTATCAGGAGAGCAAAAGAAAAGATCCTCACTTGAGAATTTTCACGTGAAAACTACTCTCTTGCGAGGCTGGTCTTTCTATGATGTCACGTCACGGTCACGCCCAGCGCAAGTGCTTCATTATTTGTCATCAACTAACTTAATTTGGGAACGTGAATCACACATAAATTCTATTGTTTATTTTCGACCTCATCGCTCCTTTTTTCTTTGTAGTTTGATCTAAATTACGCTTCGTGATTTCTTTAGTGTTTCTTTTGTGTGGCGACAGAAATTCGACAAAAGTGGATCGTTCGTTCAGCAACACGCCATCTGGCATGAATGAACAAACCTGGTCCATTAAAATTCATGAGGCTCAGTTTAACCAATATGCCACCAGCCCTCACGTGCCCCCCTACTTCGCGAATGGAGGGAAATGGATCTCCAAGTAGGGTGCACATGAAAGAGAAAGAAAAAAGTTCATCACAAAAATAATCAAGTAAAATTGTGTCGGGTTTAGCTTACGAAAATGTTTTAGCATATGCTAAAACACAGACGTTGGATTCTGAACGATAGACGATAGACATAAAACAATAGACGAAAAGCCCATTTTAAGGTCACAATTGTCACACAATCTTCATTATTGGACATTGCATCATAAAACAGACTCTGGTTTTTCATTTGGAAATGAAGATCGTGCAACAAATTTGACACGGGCATATTGTTCATCGTCTATCTTCCAGAATACATCACCTGTGTTTTGGCAAATGCCAATGTGTCGAGCTTGTATGTTTGTTTTATAATCAAATCTAATTTAATCCTTGCCATCCGTTAATCCATTCTAATAAATCACCGACAGGGGTCAAGTCAGTTGTCCAACGAAACGGATCCGTCAAAATGCGTGACAGTTTAAATACCTAAAACACCTTTGTCCTGGGATATCACTTCATCAATAGTCCATCAAAATGAAAAGCAATAATCAAAAATTATATCTTGACCTTAGGTCTCGCAGACCTGGTCATGCAGCTACAATCTTTTTAACGAGGTTAATCATGACGTTTGTGGAAAACGGCAAATAGTTATATTGAACTTGTCGCTGTCTGCTGTCAGCCATTTCTGCACTGTGAAGAGAAATATTTGCAATAGCTTTGAACGAGAGATTTTTGTTATTTTTTTTACAGGGCTGTTTTATAGATTAGAGGAAAGGTGAGTGAAATTCATTTTTGCTATTAGCGTCATGTTTAGTCCGGTTACCGTGCCTGCCGACATTTGCAAATACAGTTAGTTGTGCCATATTCTAGCCGAGAAAAATTATAATTGTTACCATGAGACTTAGACCTGCTAAAGGTAAATTTGACACTTATACTGTAAATTATCTTAACAAAATCTTCAACACTGCACTACAACAGACCACTCTTAAAAACGGCAAGCTATGTACAATTCTATTATATGAATGTAAATAAACCTTCTAAACCAAAACAACTATCAAAAGAAACGTTAAGAAGGTTTATTGACATGCAAATTACAGAATGATGGTTGCGCCCGCTGTCTATGTGAGCGTCCTTATACTCATTGGTAAGAGAAGGATTTTCTGTATTTCAAAACTCCAAAATGATACGTACATCATATCACAACACAGGTAATATGATTGCCTCCAGAAGAAACCTAGCTTTGCCTAATTCATCTTTTTTTAGCGTATAATCCAACTATGCGAATATTCATGCGGTCACTTTGATTTAACTGCCTCGAAATATAACTCAGTGAATTTCGCTATCTAGTCAAAGTGCTTGGATATGACATTGGAGCGGTCGAACCAGCACCTCTAAAGTAAAACATTATTCTTATGGGTAAATGTTTTCCTGTAAATAAGCGTTACCCATGAAAAACCTACCACTGACACTATTTTTTCTCTTAACAATTTATCTTTGAACGGT